GGGCTTCCACGCCTGGTGGGCAGAAGGAGATGCTGGCAATGGCTAGCTCAGGGCCAGAAGGACAGTCGAGGCACGGAGGGTGTCCCAAGAATTGCTCAAGACTTTAGGGACAATCTTATGAGCCAGAGAAACTAGCCAACCCCCAGCAGAGCTCCTAGTGGGTCACGTAAGGGCAAAAAGACCTCCAGCCTAAAGGGGGTGGGGCCTTAAGGTAGAGACACAGGGCTGGAGGGTCTTACAGCTCATCTGGTTGCCTGGGTCTCAATTCTGGCTGCATGTGCGTTACCGGGGGCCTTTTAAAAAAAGGTCATCGCCCAGGCTCCAGAAAGTCTGGTTTAATTGGCGTGGGGGGAGGCCTAGGCATTCCTTTATAAATGCTCTTCAAGGTATTCTGCGGAGAACTGGATCTTACCAGTCCATTTCATCTTGTAGAGCAGGCATGTCAAACTCCAAGGCTGACAAGGGCCAAGTAGACAAGATGTAAGTGTATCTGTGCCGCAAAAAACACAAAAGCTTCGGTTTTCATAGAAACGTAGGTTTATTTCGATAGAGACACGCTGAATGCAAAGGGCTGAAATAAACGAGTCATCGTTACCATAAAATAATAGAACGTTTTAATAAAAATATTTTTTCTTGAACATGAACTTACCAGACACTGAATAACTGCACAAAATCATAAGCATAATGCAAAATGAACCTATTTTTCTTGTTCTCCGGAAGCAAAATCTTTCCCGCTGCACACACCAGACAAGTCAGTCCAGGACGAATAACGCGGCCATCGGCCGCTAAAATATTCGCTGCTGGTGTTAGCGGAGAGAAATGGTGCGCCTGTGTGTAAGGCACGTAAGGGAAATAAATGCAACACAATTATAGTCATCAGTCATTAGCGAACGTTGTAGTTCGTTATTAATAATTATGTATAACAGATATTGTAAAGATTAAGTTACGAAATTTTTAAAATTTTTTATTAAAACATTACTTACATACCATCATATTGGCTAAGCCGCAAAAATATTCATTGTGGGCCATATGCGGTCCCTGGGTCACGAGTTTGACATGCTGAGGATACAGCAGTGAACAAAAAAGACAAAAATCTCAGCCCTCATGAAGTTTATGTTGGAGTGGAAGTAAGTTACAAATTTTTTTAAAAATATATTTTATTGATTTTTTACAGAGAAGAAGGGAGAGAAATAGAGAGCCAGAAACATCAATGAGAGAGAAACATCGATCAGCTGCCTCCTGCACACTCCCTACTGGGGATGTGCCCGCAACCAAGGTATATACCCTTGACCAGAATCGAACCTGGGACCCTTCAGTACGCAGGCCAACGCTCTATCCACTGAGCCAAACCGGTTAGGGCAAGATTAAGTTACAAAATTTTTATCGAAACATTTCTCACATACTGTTATATTGGCTGGGCCGCAAAAACATTCATTGTGGGCTGCATGTGGCCCGCGGGCCGTGAGTTTGACATGCTTGTTGTAGATGAAAAAACAGACTTCGAGAGCCTAAATAATGGACCCAAAGCAAAGGCCACGCAGGCGATGTTTGGCCACAGGGTCTGAACTCAGACTCGGGGCTCTCTCCCTCCCCCTGCAACCAAACGTCCTCAGCCCTGACACTCTGGGTTGATTTTAGAGGATAGCGACCATGCTTGCGTGTTTAAACCTGCATCTGGGTATGGTATTTGTACAGCGCTAGCATGCTCTAGAGCAGTGGTCCCCCATCGGTGGTCCGTGGAACACTGCTGGTCCGTAAGGTCTGAAAGGTTGGCGACCGCTGCTCTAGAGGGGCTGTCGAGAACTGTGACTGTCCCGGAGACATTGGCGACCGGTGGCCCCAGGCTCTGGAAGTGGTGACACGCTCAGGTGTTGGAGTCACAAAAGCCGGGGGACCTCGGTCATGTTACCTGACAATCATTGAGCTTCAGTGTCTTTATCTCTGAGATAAATATTTCCTTAGGGAGTCCACACAGACTGGTTCCTTGCGTGAAGATGCTAAGAGAATGACATTAAGGTCTTACTGCACAATCTGTGCCTTTTTAGTTTATTATTTCTTTTTTGGTGCCTTTTTATTTTTTAAAAAATTTATTTATTTATTTTTATTGATTTCAGAGAGGAAGGGAGAGAGAAACATCAATGATGAGAGAGAATCATGGATCGGCTGCCTCCTGCACGCCCCCTCCTGGGACCGAGCCCACAATCTGAGCCTGTGCCCTTGACCGGAATCGAACCTAGGATCCTTCAGTCCGCAGGCTGATGCTCTATCCACTGAGCAACACCAGCCAGGGCTTTTTGTGCCCTTTTAAATGGTAGCAACAGGAGGAGTAGTTGCTCTTGGCATTAATATGTTTACACTTGTGTGTCCTGGGCTTCTGGAAGTGTGGTTTTCAACCGGAGGTAATTTTGCAGCCTCGGGGAGCAGTGGGCAATGTCTAGAGATAGTTTGACGTCTTAATGCAGAATACGGGTTTTCTGGCATCTAGAGGGTAGAGGCCAGGGTTGCCCCTAAACATTCACAGTGTGCAGGGCGGACCCTCCCCAAACAAAGGGTTAGCCAAGCAATGGTGCCAGGTGGGGAAGCCTGCTCTAGAAACTGGAAAGGAACGGGGAGCTCGAAGGAAGGCCAGCGTGGGGCTGGCAACAGGTGGGCGGTTTGGGTTCTTGCACTGGGAGGAGGCGGGGGGCACTGTAGCGCCCCATCTCTGCTGTCCGTCGCCACCGAAGACTTTGCAGCTGCTGACCTGCAGGTGACAGTACGGCTGGGACTTGGTCCCCAGAGGTGCTGGGGGGATCCCGGGGAGGGCTGCCTTTCTTTGGGATCCACCTGGAAGGCGCTCTCTTCTCTCCTGAGCTCATCATTTATAAATGACAGCCGCCAGCGTGGGGAAGTATGACACCCCGATGGCCAGTGGGTAAGGGACTCAGCTTTCTTTCTGGAGCCTCGTGTCTTCACGTATTTATCTTAAGAATAAGATACACCTGACACTGCTAGGCAAGCCCTGTTGCGTGAGGAAAGGAGAATGAGTGTGAAAACTCTCCCCGATAAGAAAAGAAAAACAAAAACAAAAATAAAACAAAACAAAAACAAAACTCTCCCCTGAGCACAACACTTTGGTCCAAGGTGACCACGGTGATGTCTTAGCTGTCGAGAACTGTGACTGTTAGGCCAGCCCTGTTGCGTGAGGAAAGAAGAATGAGTGTTAAAGCTCTCCCCGATGAGAAAAGAAAAACAAAAACAAAACTCTCCCCTGAGCACACCACTTTGGTCCAAGGTGACCACGGTGATGTCTTAGGCTGTCGAGAACTGTGACTGTCCCGGAGACATTGGCGACCGGTGGCCCCAGGCTCTGGAAGTGGTGACACGCTCAGGTGTTGGAGTCACAAAAGCCGGGGGACCTCGGTCATGTTACCTGACAATCATTGAGCTTCAGTGTCTTTATCTCTGAGATAAATATTTCCTTAGGGAGTCCACACAGACTGGTTCCTTGGTCGTGAAGATGAACTAAGAGAATGACATTAAGGTCTTACTGCACAATCTGTGCCTTTTTAGTTTATTATTTCTTTTTTGGTGCCTTTTTATTTTTTAAAAAATTTATTTATTTATTTTTATTGATTTCAGAGAGGAAGGGAGAGAGAAACATCAATGATGAGAGAGAATCATGGACAGAGAATCATTGATCGGCTGCCTTCTGCATGCCCTGCACTGGGGATCAAACTTGCAACCCGGACATATGATATATGCCCGACCAGGAATTGAAGACTATAAACTGAAGACCAGAAATTGAACTGTGACCTCCTGGTTCACATGTTGACACTCAACCTCTGAGCCACCCTAGCTGGGCCTCCAATAGATTCATTTCGATAAATGTATACTGCTATGTAATTCACACACACAACATATAGAATATTTATCTTTGCTTCAGAAACCCCT